TTACTATTATAAAAATCCTTTTTTTTTTTTTTTTAAGAAATCAAGAAATCACCAATGAAATTGCATACAAATTCCTTTTGTGGTCAACTTTAGTGGTTCACAAACATTTACAGCTGACTGTGTTTATTAATCTCAAATGACTCATCAATTTGAATATCCCCTTTGTGAAGAATGGTCTTGCTATTGTCTGTATCTTGCTGCAAGGTGTCTGGTTAATCACATAAATTCCCAGAACAGACTACACTAGTTGACAAGGGAATCTGCCAAAACGTCATCTGTGCCTCGAGCTTCAATACTAATATTTGTCTTTTCTAAGACATTAATTGTTACTAATTAATCAGCTACTATTGAGGCTTCTTTTCCATGATACATAAAAATGAATTCTGATAGAGTTACTTAAAATGGGCATTTCCGGGGCGCCTGGGTGGTGCAGTCGGTTAAGCGTCCGACTTCAGCCAGGTCACGATCTCGCGGTCCGTGAGTTCGAGCCCCGCGTCGGGCTCTGGGCGGATGGCTCAGAGCCTGGAGCCTGTTTCCGATTCTGTGTCTCCCTCTCTCTCTGCCCCTCCCCCGTTCATGCTCTGTCTCTCTCTGTCCCAAAAATAAATAAACGTTGAAAAAAAAAAAAAAATGGGCATTTCCAAGGGAGGGAAAGCCTAGAATGAATGGTATTGGACTGAGTTGGAAACATCCACATGAAGTCATGTTTAGCTTAATATAGATACAGAAAGATAGCTATATTTACAGAATGGATTAGTAACCATAGCTATATTTCCCAGCTCTGTCAGCTGAGAGGACCTAGTGCAATAACACCCTAGTAGCAACTAGTACACGCACCACTTAGACCTTGATTTCTCATACCATTCTCCAATAAAGTAGAACAGGGCTCACTGGAGAAATGACTGGTTCTAGGACTGAGGAGGGAATTCATCAGATAAACCTGGAGCATTTTGTAGTGTCACAAATGGACAGGGGCATGTCAAAAAGATAAGAGGTGACCCTGAAAGAGCTGACACTGGTCAAAGCTGGAACAATTTGAGCAACAAAATAGATATGTAGTATTTTAATGTTATTTTTTTTTTTAGAGAGAGCATGAGAAGGGGAGGAGGGGTAGAGAGAGAGGGAGACACAGAATCTGAAGCAGGCACCAGGCTCCAAGCTTTCAGCATAGAGCCCGATGTGGGGCTCACACTCACAAATGGAGAGATCATGACCTGAGCTGAAGTCGGATGCTTAACCAACTGAGCCGTCCAGGTGCCCCTGTAGTATTTTCAAATAAATATCCCTGAATCCATACCGATATAAATACATTGTTTAACAAATAAATCAGGAAGAATAGACATATCTCCCATACAGAAAAATTTCAAACAATTTATGTAGACACTTTCCACTCAGGAGGTGAAGCTTAATACCCAATGCCTCAAGTGGCATATGACTTCTGTAGTTTTCCTCTTCCAAAACCATAATCTCAGTAAAACCATGAGGAAATAGCAGATAAATTCAAATTGAGGGACCTTCTACAAAATAACAGATGAGTACTCCCCCAAACTGGGAAGGTCATCAAAAACCAGGAAAGTCTGTGATACTTAGAGCCAAGAGTAGCCTTACGTGACATGCCGACTAAATGTAATGTGGTATCCTGAATGGCAAAGGGAACTGCAACCACAAACACCTTGAGACAGAGGAAATGCAGCATGTTTGAGGAACGGGGCTGGCCCATTATGAGCAAGCAGGGTCAAGTTTGGGTCAGATAGACAGATAGGAAGTGGTTCTTCATTATGGCTGTACATTGGGATCATGAGAGGGTTTTTTTTTAAGTTTATTTATTTTGAGAGAAAGAGAAAAAGTGCATGAGCAGGGAGAGGGGCAGAAAGAGAGAGAGAGAGAGAGAGAGAGAGAGAGAGAGAGAGAGAGAGA